CCCCCCCGACAGATTTGACAGAGTTGAGTTCTGATGTGATGATAAGCTGAAATTCTTGTTTTACAGGTGAGAGATCCCAAAAGTCTTCTGTCTCTGCCTGGAGTGCTGGTTGGAGACATGGGCAAGAAGTTAGGCCAGAATGGACTGGATAATGGGTGGGTGACTGCAGTGGCTCTGTGTTCTGCTTCTCTTTGTCGGATCCTTTAATGGTCCTGTCTAATGAAAGATCATATCTGTATCTATCAGGTTTGTGATGTTTCACAATGTAAGAATCCCACGGGCAAACCTTCTGAACAAGACAGGAGATGTTACTCCTGATGGGCGCTATGTGACACCATTCAAGGTCAGAACACATTCCCTGATGGACCAAGATAGCTTTAAAACCCACATGATCGAATAAATACTGGTACTACTGCTGAGCTATGCCATGGAAATTAGGAGTGTTCTTTTGTTCGGTTCATTGACCAAAAAAAAAAAAAAAAACTGCACAGAAATATTCAGATTTATCATATTTTTGATCACCTGTCCTTCATATTTAATGATGAATGTGAAACAGGCTCTGACATCCGACATGCCTTTTCAATATACAGTAAAGAAAATAAGTATTTGAACACCCTGCGACTTTGCAAGTTCTCCCATGTAGAAATCATGGAGAGGTCTGAAATTTTCATCTTAGGTGCATGTCCAGTGTGAGAGACATAATCTAAAAAAACCATCCGGAAATCACAATGTATGATTTTTTTAAATAATTTATTTGTGTGTCCATCCATCCATCCATTTTCTTTACCCGCTTATTCCATTTTGGGTCACGGGGGTCGCTGGTGCCCATGTCCAGCAATCACTGTGCGAGGGGCGGGGTACACCCTGGATGGGTCGCAAGTCCATCACAGGGCCACATAGAGACAAACGAGACAAACAACCATTCACTCTCTCACTCACACCTAGGGACAATTTAGAGTTACCAATCAGCCTAACATGCATGTTTTTGGACTGTGGGAGGAAACCGGAGTACCCGGAGAAAACCCACGCATGCACGGAGAGAACATGCAAACTCCACCCAGAAAGGCCCCTGGACCGGGGTTTGAACCAAGGACCTGCTCGCTGAGAGGCAGCAGCTCTACCAGTTGCGCCACCGTGCTGCCTTATTTGTGTGTTACTTCTGCAAATAAGTATTGGAACACCTGCCAATCAGCAACAATTCTGGCCCTCAAAGACCTGTTAGTCCGCCTCTAAAAAGTCCACCTCCACTCCACTTATTATTCTAAATTAGAAGCACCTGTTTGAGGTCATTAGCTGCATAAAGACACCTGTCCACCCCACACAATCAGTAAGACTCCAACTGCTAACATGGCTAAGAACGAAGAGCTGTCAAAAGACACCAGAGACAAAATTGTAGACCTCCACAAGGCTGGAAAGGGCTATGGGGCAATTGCCAAGCAGCTTGGTGAAAAAAGATCAACTTTTGGAGCAGTTATTAGAAAATGGAAGAAGCTAAACATGACTCAATCTCCCTCGGTCTGGGGCTCCATGCAAGATCTCACCTCGTGGCGTATCAATGATCCTAAGAAAGGTGAGGAATCAGCCCAGAACTACACAGGAGGAGCTGGTCTATGACCTGAAGAGAGCTGGCGCCACTGTTTCCAAGGTTACTGTGGATAATACACTAAGACGTCATAGTTTAAAATCATGCATGACACGGAAGGTTCCCCTGCTTAAATCAGCACACGTCCAGGCCCATCTTAAGTTTGCCCGTGACCATTTGGATAATCCACAGGAATCATGGGAGAAAGTTATGTGGTCAGATGAGACTAAAATAGAACTTTTTGGTCTTAATTCCACTCGCCATGTTTGGAGGACAAAGAATGATGAGTACCATCCCAAAAATGCCATCCCTACTATGAAACATGGCAGTGAAAGCATCATGCTTTGGGGGTGTTTTTCTGCACATGGGACAGGACAACTGTACTGTATTAAGGAGAGAATGACCGGGGCCATGTATTGCGAGATTTTGGTGAACAACCTCTTTCCCTCAGTTAGAGCATTGAAGATGGGTTGTGGATGTGTTGTTGTTGTTGCTGTAATGTTGCCTGTCACTCAATCTAACCCAATTGATCAACTCTCCCACTAGACCAAACAAAAACCATCCTGAAAAATCTTCCATGTTAGACCTGTTTCTAACAAATATGCCTCACAAATTCCCTGGTACAGGTGTATTCGCTGACATTTCAAGTGATCATTGTGTAATAGCGGGTCTAAAAGATAATAAACTTCCACCTTCTAAGCCCAGATTAATTAAAAAAAGGGATCTGAAACGTTTTTGCAAACAGTCATTCCTCTGGGATCTATCTCACTTTGACTGGCATCGTATTCTATTAACTGATGACGTGAACACTGCTTGGAACTGTTTTCATAATATCCTGATGCATGCTCAATAATCCAGGTAGAAAAATCCAAAAAAGTTAAATCTGGTCCTCTGGACATTCAAAAAAACAAAACAAAGCAAAACAACAAAAAAATGTAGAAACGTTTTGTCTCTCATCCAAGAGACTTCCTCAGTCTGAGGTGCTGTATTCAGCTCAGTCCCTTAAGTAGCACCTTCTCAGAGTGGATCAACCAGTTTTGCTGCTGACAACCAAAACCAGCTGATCACATGCTCAAGAAGGACCATCAGCCTAACAATGGATCATTAGCACACTGATGGCTGTTTACTATTCACAGACTATTCCTGTTCAGTGTCAGGAGGGCTGTGGTCAGTCTTACATCGGGGAAACTAAACAGCCACTGGCCAAAAGGATGGCCCAGCAAAGAAGAGCAACATCATCAGGCCAGGACTCTGCGGTCTACACTCATCTCCAGGCCAGCGGTCACTCTTTCAGGGATGAAGATGTGCACATCCTGGATAGAGAGGAACGATGGTTTGAGAGAGGAGTAAAGGAGGCCATCTTTGTGAAAAGAAACAGTCCATCGGCCTACGTGTTCAATTGTCCCCCTCTTACAATGCTGTGATTGCTAGTATCACTCGGCCCTCTGTGAATAGTAAACAGCCATCAGTGTGCTAATGATCCATTGTTAGGCTGATGGTCCTTCTTGAGCATGTGATCAGCTGGTTTTGGTTGGCAGCAGCAAAACTGGTTGATCCACTCTGAGAAGGTGCTACTTAAGAGACTGAGCTGAATACAGCACCTCAGACTGAGGAAGTCTCTCGGATGAGAGACGAAACGTTTCTACATTTTTTTGTTGTTTTGCTTTGTTTTGTTTTTTTGAATGTCCAGAGGACCAGATTGAACACTTTTTTGGGTGTTTTCATAATAGTTTCATTTATTTTGTGAACAAACTTGCTCCTTTTCGTCAGTTCAGAATAAAGGGATGAGACAGCCCCTGGTTTACTCCAGAGCTAGCTGACCTCATGCACAGGAGAGATCATCTTTGGGCCGCAGCGAGAAAATCTGGCTCAGACACTGATTGGTTGAGTTTTCGGCAGATGAGGAATAAATGCGCAACTGCCATCAAAGCAGCAAAGCGCAACTATTTCTTATCTCAGACCTCCAAAAATCTAAATGACCCTAACTGATTCTGGAAAACCATCAAATCTCTCTCGGGCAGCTCCCAATCATCTGACCTCCCATCACAACTTCTCGTTAACTCTGTTCCTGTGTTAAATAAGCATGAGATCCTGAACTGTTTCAACAAACATTGTGTTGCTTCTAGTTCTTTATTTGACACAGTTACTAACAGAAAATCAGCCACTTCACTTAATAACCAAACTTCTACAAATCAAATCCCTCCTATAAGTCAATCCTCAATCATACCTTCTCTTGTTCTCCATTCTCAGTTAGTGAGGTAAATAAAATGTTAAAAGGTTTTGATCCTAAAAAATCTGTAGGACCAGATGAACTTCCACCTTATTTCCTAAGGCTGGCCGCTCATATAATCACAGTCCCTGTGACCCACATCTTTAACCTGTCCATAAGCCAAAACTCCATTCCAGACGCTTGGAAAATAGCCTTTGTTCTTCCTTTGCTGAAGGGAGGTGACCCCACCTCACTGAACAACTATCGACCAATCTCTAAACTCTGCATTTTAGCCAAGGTTCTAGAAAAACTGATAAACTCTCAAATCAAAAATTACCTGGACTCATTTAACATCTTACCTCCCCATCAATCAGGTTTCAGGAAACAACACAGCACAACGACTGCTTCACTGAAGGTTCTTAATGATGTTGTTGGAGCATTGGATGCTAAGGATTATTGTGCTGCACTTTTCTTAGACCTGCCTAAAGCTTTTGACACTGTGGATCATAACATCTTGTGTCATAAGCTCTCAGAAATTGGTTTCTTAGAGCACACCATTGGTTGATTCTCTAACTATCTCTCAGATCGGAGGCAATGTGTTCAACATAATAGTACTTCCTCCAGTTATTTAACAGTCAAGTCAGATTTATTTATAGAGCACATTTAAAACTGAAACTGTTACCAAAGTGCTTAATAAAAATATCACAACATCAAATAAAAAGTAGCAATATATATTTACAGCACATGGAATAAAAATATAAAACCGAAAACATAATTAGAAACAATAAAATACTAAATCAGATCACGTTGTGTCAAAAGTCAAGGAAATAATAACAAAAAGCATAAACTCAGTCAGAAACAATGAAATACCAAATCAGATCTGATGACCTTGTGTTAAATAAGAATAATAACAAAAGCATAAACAGAATCAGCATCAATGAAAAACTAGATCTAAATCTAAAATCAGAGAATCTTCACCAGCATAGATCTAAATCCGATCGCCCTGTGTTAAATGTCAAATGAGTATAGGTGAGTTTTTAGGAGAGATTTAAAAGCAGAGACTGAGGTGGCCTGTCGAATGTTGATGGGCAGATTGTTCCAAAGTTTAGGGCCCACGACTGAAAATGCTCGATCTCCTCTGAGCTTCAGCCTGGTTTTTGGTATGGCCAAAAGCAGCTGGTCTGATGATCTCAAAGCCCGAGAAGGAGTATAAGGATGAAGAAGGTCGGAGAGGTATGATGGTGCAAGGCCGTTAATGCACTTGAATGTCAGCAGGAGAATTTTAAAATCAACTCTGACACGCACAGGAAGCCAGTGAAGGGAGGACAGAACCGGAGTAATGTGCTCAAGCCTGCAAGTTCCTGTTAAAAGCCGAGCTGCAGCATTTTGTACGAGCTGGAGACGTGAAAATGAAGCCTGACTAACCCCAACATAAAGCGAGTTACAGTAGTCCAGCCGGGTTGTAATAAATGCATGGACTAGTTTTTCAAGGTCGGATCTGGACAGAATGGACTTAAGCTTTGCTATTTGCCTTTGCTGAAATAAGCTTTTT